CACCCTAAGCCACAACAAAATCAAGTGAACACTTACCAAGCTTAACATATTGCACAGATACCGCTACTAGATCTCCTACTGATCTGATTCAACGTGTTGTGTGAATCCAGCCCCCATCTGGTAATAAAAAGCAAGCCACTCTAATAAAGCTTCAGTTTTCAGGCCTGTGGATCCAGACACTTTTTCATAATACAACGTTGCATTATAGCATACTAAAATGTGGATTTTTTGCTTCTTTAAAAGCCAGTGTCGGTTGCCTATTCCTGAAAGCCACCTTTCCCCTTGTCTGTTGCCTCTGTGGGTAATGTAGTATGTCAGGGCAGCGGAGACCTCCCACTCTCCATCTTCCTGTTTCTCCTCTCTCCTGCCTGTTCTTCTCTACCCAGCAGGGAGAGGAGGGAGAAATTACATCGCCAGAGGTCTGAATTCCTGCAGAGAGGGGGCTTTTAAAATTAGGTCATGGTCTGGGAATTGTCCATGCTGCCATGGTTCAACCAGGAGAGTCAATTAATTACCTCCAAGCCATCGTCACAATTGTCACACATGGCATTTACATAACATTTTTATGGGTTCACCGTCCATCATTATTTCAAACCCTAGTACCACACTCACAGAGTCTGCTGTTGCGTGATTCTTTCTTCAACTATAAACAGCAGACCCAGGAGCCCTGTTTCTCCCTGTTTTCCCATGCTAACAACCTCTTCTGCCCAGACTAACTGCATTTAGTGGTGGTAGTTATCGCGAATTGTTTCTGTCCTGTCTCAAATAGCTCTGAGCTGATTCCCAAGGCGTGGAAAGGAAGGGTTTAAAAACCTTCTTTATATTCAGGGATCACACTCCTAATCTGTTCCCTGTTCCACATAATTCATCATCGCTATTTGAAGAACGATTCTACATCAACTATATTTCCTTTTCTGAACATTAGATATTGCAGTCATCCATACTGAGTTGAGATATTTGTATCTTTTTGTATATACATTTATTTGCAACCATAGGTTTTACAAAATTTGTATAAAATTACAACCATCCATATCAGTTCAATACATCCCCTCTGATATTAACAGCACTATTTGTAGCTTCCTTGCAGCCATTGCAAACAATGCAACTTGTTTTCTTACATGTTCATCTACTTCAGTTGATATATGAGGTCCCAATTTGGGGTTTCAGTAAACTAGAAGAATTAGAAGTGGTCCAGAATAAATTTGTGAGATCAATCTTAGCCTTACCCCCACATAAACCTGCAGCAATGTTGAGATTAGACGTGGGCCTTCCATCAATTAATATAAGTGTAAAGAAAGCAATCATCTTATATTACAGGAGACTAGTCTTCATGCCCAATACTTCTCTGGCAAACAATGCCTCCACAAACAATTTAAGAGTAATAGATGGGTGAATTTGCGCCTAAAACTATTTTCACAATTACCACTAGATCAAGAACTGTGAATGACATAAATTATCATACTGAGTTGAGATAGTTCAGTATGATTATTTTGCGGGTGAAGAGCTAGTTTTTGGACAGGGTGGCCTTAAACCAATGATTGTAAGGACATGGGTGAAATTTGAATTGTTGACAGTACTTTCATCCATGGTAAAAACTCCACTGGATTGAGCTCAACTCCCACACATGTGATTTTCCTGGAAACAATACAGGTGTGGTTTGTCATTGCCTTCTTCTGGGATATTCTTCTGGCTTTTTATTTATTTATTTATTTATTTATTTATTTATTTATTTATTTATTTATTTATT